GCCTGATGGGCTGCCGTGAGGTTTCAGCAGCGCTTGTGATGTCTGCCCAGCCTGACTCCTGTCACCAGGAAACATCACACTCAAATTCAGAGACATCTTGCTGAATAACTGGCATATTATTATGTGTCAAAATCATGGACTCAAGAGACACTGAAGGAACTGTTCAAATGAAGGAGATTGAAGAGAAATGACATGTGATTCTGAACTGGATCCTTTGTTATAAAGGAGATTATTGAGTTGGTCAGAAATGAACCGGGGTATAAGGAAAAGATGGAAGTCATGTATTGATATGCCTTTTCTGATTTTGATGGCTGTACTCTGGTTATATCAAAGAATACATTCAATAGTCAAAGGTAATTCAGTGGTACATGCCTATAATCCCAGTGACTCAGGAGGCTAAGTCAGGAGGATCTCAAGTTCAAGACCAGCCTGGACTACTTAAGACTCTGTCTCAAAATTTAAAAAAAGAAAGAAAAAAAAGAAATGGGGACCATGCTTGTATAATTTTATCAAAATGGATTCTACTGTTACATATAACTAAAAAGAACCAATAAAACTTTTAAATAAAAAGAGAAGGGGGAAAAAAGGAATGGTAATACAGTGGTAATACACCCATGGGTTCGGTTCCCAGTACTGGGGGAAAAATAGCCAGAAGTAAAGAAGCATCAGTTTGGCAACCTACTCCCTGATGGTTCAGGAAAAAGGGTTCTTTGTACGATACCTCCTTGCTGCATATAGTTGTTTCATAGTGAATTTTTTAAAAACCACAAAATACCATTTCATACATTAGAATGAATGAATTTAAAATGATATATGAAGGGGAGGGCACGGAGCAACTGGAACTCTCATACGTGGCTAATGCAAATATGAAGTTATTCTGTCTGTACTATAAAGAGCCATATAATTATCCAAAGTTAAATGCCATCCTGTGACCCAGAAGCTCGACCTAGATTCTCTATGCCTAGAAGATCCTTTCTCCCCTATGCCTGGCAAAATCTTAACCTTTTCAAGATCTTATCTAATTGACACCTACCCTGTGAAGCTCCCAATAATTTCTGTGCTCTAAAATAGTAGTAGTAAGAGTTTATAAAGCCTTTATATTTTGCATGGCACCTTTGGAATCTGTGTTAGTCTTTGCATCCACTCTGAATGGCCAATGTGAAAGTGGAAAAAGCAGGTCTCTCACCGTCAGGAGTTGAGAGTGAGAAAGCCTCAGTGAGACACTTCACCAATGAGGGAAGGAGGCTGACAGTTCAAGAGGCGGCCCAGGAATGCGCCTGCTGCGGACCGGGCTCCACGCTAGGCCCCTTCTCATTTCATCTTCGCCACATCCCTTTGAGGAGGGTGGCGTTTTCTCAGTTTTACAGATGAAGAAAACTCAGAGCGAGAGGATTGAAGCAAGGTCACGCAGCAGATAAATGGCAGGCTAGGACCAAGCCCTCTGTTTTCTCCAGACCCTCTTCTAAATCTGTCTTTCTCTGCCAATGGCTTAAGGATCCAGCCTCCAGATGTGGGGGTCTGTGGAACTGCTGGAGGAACCTGATGACCAAGGCAGTCTGCAAGGCAGCAGGTCATCTGCTGAGCACCGGGGCCAAGGAAAAGGCTGCCTACGCCTCTCCCCTGCCAGTCTGTCAAGACTCCTCCTGACCTTCTGCTGGTGTGCCAGCCGAGGAATCTGCCGCGAGTGCGCCAGCGCTGGAAGACCCTGCTGAGTCACTTGTGCAGATCACTCAGTGCACCCACTTCTCAGCTCTGAGTCATGAATGGATTTCATCACTTCTTTTCCTCTGATGGCCTGCACCTTGCCGGTGGCCATGTGTGCTGGACGCGTATTACTTCAGAAGAAATTTTCTTTACCAAACCACTGCCATTTCTTCTTCCACAGTAATGATGGCAGCTGCAACCACAGAACAGTTGCAGTAATAGCTCGTACTGTGGCTGTTGGCTGTGCTAAGGAAGCACTTGCAAATAAACAAGGAATTCGACAGGAAAGATACCCTCACAGCCCCATTTTATAGATGGGAAAACAGGCTAGGAACGGTTAGGCCATTTGTCATTTAGTAACTGTAAAAAAACCTGAAAATTCTGGTTGATACATGTCTTATTTTAAGCTAGTTTCAAAATTGGCTAATGTGTCAGGTTGCTAAATTATCTTTAGCAATATTTGAGGTAAATTGTTAAGTAGCAAATGTTAAATTTTATAATTATATACAAAATCAAATGTGGAATGTTTATTCTTAAATAGATTCGTCTTTGGAGCTGTTTGTGTGGTCTCTTTGCGTACTGCATCTTTTAGGTCTGTCCCTGCTGCCCTTGTCAGGAACTCCCTCTTCGCTGCCAGTGGTGCTGCATCGCAGGCGTGTACCACAGCTGGCTTGTCGGGTCTCACGTAGGCAACTTCAGGTTGCTTCCATTTCTTGACTAAGGCTGTTGTGAGCATGCATTTGCAGACCTTCATGTGGATACCTCTTTTCATTTCTTTGGGATGAATACCTAAGTGTGGGTTGCTCTGCCATGGTGGAGATGTTTCTTAAACTTAGTAAGAAATTGCCGTAAGTTTTTCAAAATAGTAACACTGTTTTACATACCTTCTAGCAGTGTGTGCTTACATACATTTCAGGTCCCCACTACGATCAGGGGCTGATTGTTTCCTAAGCTGTCCCAGTGAGTGCTTGGGGGTTTCTCATTGTCCCACCTTTTCGTGTGTTATCGACCATTTGTATATTTTTTCCTGAAGCATCTATTCAAGTATCTTACCCACTTGCCTCCCCCTTTTTTCTTTTTCTTCTTGGTTTTTTTTTTTTTGTTTTATTTTGGTTTGGTTTTGTAGTAGTGGGAATTGAACCCACGTGTGCTTTACCACTGAACCACATCCCCAGTCTTGTTTGTTTTTAAACTTTGAGTATCTCCCTAAGTTGCTGGGGCTGGCCTCAAACTTGCAATCCCCCTGCCTTAGCTTCCTGAGTCACTGGGAATAATAGACATGCCCTATGTCTAGCAATATGTTGCCCATTTCTTGTTGAATTATCTGTCCTTTTGTTGGTTTGTATAGGAGTTCTTTATCTATTGTATATACAATTCCTTGGTCAGATACGTGCTACAAATAATTTTTCCTGTTCTGTGGTTTGTCTCTTTATTTTCCTAATCATATCTTGGATGAATAGAAACATGATTTTGAGAAAGCCAGATTTTTGAAATTTTTGCTTTCTCTGTCCAAAGGTCACTAAAATATTCTTTTATGTTTTCTTCTAGAGTCTTTTTGACTTGGTGGTTTGTTTAGGTCTACTGTGTATGTCAGATTAACTTTTTGATGGAGTGAAATGGGGTTGGAGTTTATTTATTCTTTATAAATATCTACTCATTCCATCAATGTTTGTTAAACAGACGTTCTTTTCCTCGTTGAATTGACATAGTGTGGACTCCAGAGCTAGGTCCCTAAGGTCCTGTCCCAAACCAGCCGTGTGTTGTATGACCCTTATGAGTGTCCAAATTTCCTCAGGCCTCGGTTTCCTTCTTTATAAAAAGGTCATTACTACTAGTGCCTTCTTTCGATTGTTTTGGAATTGAATACATTTATCCATGTAAGTGCTTATTAGAAAAATGGCCAGTATATAATCAGCCCCCAGTAAACATTAGCTGGCATTAATAAGTCACTCTCACATGTTTCCATTGTTCCCTTACTTACAGCCTGCCTGGCAACATGGATTTTATCACAGACCCTCCTAGCACTCTGCCTGGGATTTTCACAGTGTCATATAAAGCTGTTACAAGGCCTGTTGTTTCATAAAGGGGCCTGTTGTTTGATATGGCTGTGTCACCGTAGTAAAGCATAAGAAGTAAAATCGAGAATCAGTAAATGGGATGGATTCAAACTAAAAAGCTTCTTCTCAGCAAAGGAAGCAAAGTTTTTCTCTCTCATTAGCCGTTTACTGGTATTTGTAAAGCATCCATTTATTCAGTGTATACTTACTGAACACTATCAGTTTTCCATTACTGTGACAAAATACTTAAGATAACCAACTTAAAAGAAGAAAATGTCTATTTTGGCTCATGGTTTCAGAGGTATTGGTCACTTAGCCCTCTTGCATTGGGCCTGGGGTGGCAAAGGCGGTCTGTTCACTTCATGGCAGCCTGGAAGTGAAGACAAACAGGAAGGGGCCAAGGTCCCAATATCCCCTTCAAGTGCATATCAGTGACCTGAGTACTTCCCACTAGGACTCACCTTTAAAGGTGCTATGGGCTGGGGACTAGGCCTTCGACACATAGGCCTTTGGGGAACCCTTATCTAGACCATCAGCAAGCACTGAATGCCAGGGCTAAGCAGCAAACATGACTCATGAAGGCAAAGAGCTGCTCTCACAGACGACAGATAAAAGACAGTGCATGACAGACCCATCACTGCTGCGGAGGAAGCAAGCAGGTGCAGAGGAGTGGCAGGGTCCTTGGGTAGCAGGGAGGGCCTCTCTGAATAGGTGTAGCTACACCCCCTGGGTGGAAAAGGGGACCCCTTGTGGGAAGAAGTTCAGGAAGGAAGTGCAGAGATGGTTCCACCTCGGAGGTATTAAAGACTTATGCTTTTATAGTTAAACTAAGTATTACTTATATGTGGGTATATAATACGGGTCAAAATTATGTGTCTACTGTGTATATATGTACACACACACACATATTCAGCAAGACTTTTGAATTAGTGTAAAACTAGTGGATTAATGAATATCCAGCTTTGGGTTTGTTGAAGGTAGGGCCTTCACTGCCCATTCACTAAGTGTGGTGTCCATCGGGGGCATTTCAGACTGCAGCATTCTACTGATGCTGTTCCCGTGCTGTGGCTGGGGACACAGAGGGTGCACAGCCCCTGCCTGAGGCAGCAATGCCTATACCTCTTTTCAGGTGCCCTGTGGAGGTGTGTCCAGGTAGCCACTGGTCCATGAGGCAGTGACTCTCCTCTGTTGTCAAAAAGAGTAGCATAGGTTTTACAGCAAACAATTGTTTGGTTTTAGATCTAAGCTGGAACCTGAGCCAAGTACAAAGACAAGAGAATCCACATCCTCTGAGAAAGTTTCACAGAATCCTTCAAAAGACTCTGAAGAAACACTTGCCACTGAAGAGCATCCAGGTATGAGTTAAAGTTCAAGCCTTGCCCTGCATTCCTTCCTCACAGTGCTGGCCAGAGTGCAGAGGAGGACAGAAGCAGCAGCCCAGCCCCTGCCAGCTGCGTGTGTGGTTGCTTGAGCCAAGGCTGGCGGGAGGTGGCCGTGGTTTTGTCTGTCCACAGTTGGCTGAGAAGAGCCGTCCAGTCACCTGGGAGCTGGGATCCAGATGAAAGGGCCTGCTTGAGCTGTATACTGCCCGGGGATTGGGCTCTGCTGAAGGGCCGAGGGAGGCAGTGCTACCCTCCAGGCAGAACCCTGTGCTCTCGGCACCATCCTGCCAGTCCTGCCAGGGCGAGCGTGTGATCTCGGTGGCTTTCGTAGCCGGTCAAGCCAGCAGGACAAGGTGCAAGAGTGGGTTTATGTGCTGCCTGTCGCTGTGGATACCAGGTACCCCATGACTTTTTAGTCTTTATATCCTATTGTCATGGACATCTTCATTCTGTGTGCACCCAATGCAGAGGACACCTGTTAGTGCACGTAGCATAGAGGTTTCCATACTACGTGACTCGCAGCCAGGGACGCACTGGGGCCAGGAGAAGCTGGGCACCTTTGCTTCCTCTGTTGTGGTCTGTCTTGGGGTGTGGGGCTCAGGCCCGCGTGCTCACAGGCGTGGTTGTCACCCTCACAGCAGCCCCCTGCAGGTACGTTCCACGAGCCTCTCTTTTTTCAGAGAAACCCCCTGAAAGGCTCACAAAGACTCACAAAACCTGGGTGACTTGTCCAGGATGGGTGACTTACAACTGGCAGCTGCAGAATTCATGCACAGTTCTGTTTTCTGAAAAGTCCTGTTACTCAGGCTGCCTCCTGTCTCTCCATCTCATTTATCCCTTGCTTCTCACAAGCAAGAGCATTCACTACACACCGTGGCTTCCTAAGCCTGGCCCATGCCACAGTTCCTTTCTAAAGTTCAGAACAGCTTTCAGGAGGGACTGGCAAGGAGATGAGCATTTATGGAGCCCTCCACTGGTACCAGGCACATACTGGGCATGTTAAAGATGTGATGTATACTGGGCCTTGTGAGGCGTGTGTTATTGTCAGTGTTTCATATGTGAGAAAATGAGTTGAGTGAGATTACGTAACCCATGCACAGTCCAGCACCAAGAAGGACAGCACCGGCTTCGATGTGGGCCATGCTGTTTGCAAACCTGAGCCCATTCCTGGTGACAGCTGCCCTGACTCCACAGGCAGGGGCTCAGTGTACTTCCTGTTCCTACCCACCCTACCATCACCCACGAAATCATGGGCTTCTCAGAAGATAATGTGTACATGCGTCATTACTAAATTCACTCAGTCCACACAGCATCCACATCTGCTCAATTCATGCATGTATTCAGGAAATGCCAGATGAGAGTGGGAAAGCCAGTGCAGACTTGGGGCTCCGAATCTCCTATGCAGAACTGGAGCCCATCTGCTCTGCTGGGCCCCAGGCCCAAGCTGTATCTTGTGCCAGGTGCCAATTCATTCATGGGTCTAGGGGCATGGGAGTGAGCAGTGTGGCTGTTAGGGATACGGCAAGGAGCAGAAAATCAGCACCTCTCCTTCAGCCCAGTGGGAAGCAGATGCTAGCTGCTCTCAGTTATGGTGTGTGCTGTGGAGACAGGTGTGTGCCGTGGCTTGTCCCAGAGGTGCAGACCTTGATATTTCAGTTAAGACCTGAGGAATTAAAACCCTGTGGCCCCTGGGAGGATTGTTGCAGGCAGAGGCCCAGGACACGAGTGTGTCTTGTGTGGCTGCTGAGCACCCAGGGCTGGAGATGGGGAGAGAGCAGAGGGGCATGGACTGGGAAGGTGCTGGGAACTTGGTCCTGGGGGCCTGTAGGCCACAGGGAGACTGTGCCTTTACTGAGTAAGACAGGAAGCTATGAGCAGATCTGCCCAGAGGACTGTCTCACTTGACTACGTCTCAGCAGGATCCCTCTGGTCATCCTGTTGGAATGGAATGTTAGGAAGCAAGGACAGAAACGAGTGGCTGGGAGGCTTCTAGAGCCACCAGCAGCAAGGCAGGGGCGGACTGCACCAAGCACGGCAGCAGTGGTAGAATGCCGGATGTCTTCTGAAATAGAGTCACAGAGTTTGCCTTCTGGGTGTGGGGCATGAGGAGGCACCAAAAGAGCCACTGTGTCTTAGGCACCTGGAAGGAAAGAGCTGCCCTTCACTGAGCTGTGGAGGACGATGGAAGAGCAAGCTTGGTCAGGAACGTGGGTGGCACATGTGGATGTGAGATTCCTAGGGGAGATGTTGAGTAAGAAACTGGGTTCACAAGTCTAGAGGTCAGGGATGGAGTGTAGACAGTCTTGATCCCTTGAGACAGGCTGGATTCACAAGGAGTGAAGGTTAGTAGGAAGAGAAGGAAGGACTTCCTCCTTCTGGTACTTCCTGTCTGACTGTCCCTCCCCTCCTCCCAGTAGTCCTCTCTGTTTTCTTATTACCTGTCTTCCCTGCTAACCAGAAGTCCCACAAGTGCAGGAGTGTCTACGTCTTGCTCATTCCTGTACCCCCAGTACTGGAGCCAGACTCAACCCACAGGAGGCTTCAGCAAATATGGCTTGGAAAACTGCACACATGCATGAGTCTCTCTCTGGAACCCAGTTGCTCTTCCTTACTGTGGAGAGGAATCAGTTGCCTCTGCAGGGTAGGAAATAAGTGGTCAGAGTGAAAGAATGCTGCTCTTCATGGTTAAAGTCCATGTAGGCACGAGGCCTTCTCCTGTCTAACCCAGCTCTCTTGGCCTTCAGGAGAGCACTGACTAGCATGTTGGAGACAGAGGGCATATGAAGAGTGCCCCTTTGAAGGTGTCTGGAGCCCAGCTCCAGCACTGACAGCACTCGGAGCATCAGTTTGCCCATTTTTAAAATGGGGATGATAGTACCCACCTTTCAGGGATGTGGGGAGATTAGTGGTAGTCACTGGGGCTAAAAACTTTCATGCTTCAAAGGACCTCATCAAAAAAGTGAAGACAACCCACAGAATGGGAAGAAGTGTTTGCAAATTATATATCTGATAAGGTGCTTGTATCTAGAATATAGAAAGAACTCTTTACAACTCAGTACTACAAAGACAAACTAGTTAAAAATCAGCGAAAGATCTTAAGTTTCTTAAAAGAAATACCAGATGGCCAGTAAGCACATGAAGAGGTGCTCCGCATCCTTAGTAATCAGGGAAATGCAAATGACAGTCCCAGTAAAGAACCAGCTCACACCTGCTAGGACTATGGGAGAGTGCAAGAGCAGGTAGCATCGAAGATGTCCCCAAGGGTGCAGAGAAGCAGTGCTGGGCAGAAGACTGTGTTTTGTGGCAAAATTAGGCTTTGAATTGAAGCACGGTAAGAAGCCACTGGTGGGTTTGAAGCTAGAGCATGATGTGGTCTGGGTTAGGTCCTAAAAGCCCTGAGACTGCTGTGAGGGACTAGCACAGAGGCAGACAGATGGGCCAGGAATCTTGCAACAGCCCAGGCACAAGGTAGCGTAGGCCTTTGGGGAGGCCATGGTAGAGGGGTGAGAGAAGCACTTGCTGCATTTCGGAGCCTGAGCTTATCTGGTAAGTGGAATATGAGATGTGAAGGATGAGAACAGGCGGGGGTGAACAGCCTGCAGGCTTGGGGTTGGAGCAATAGGTAGACGGTGGACAGGGAATGGTGGCCTTGTTGCCTGAGGCGAGCACAGCTAGAGGTGGGGTTTGGCACTAAGGCTCAGGAGAGTGGGAAGGAATCAATACAGTGCCCTGCAGGCCTTCTAAGATGCCCTTTGGATGTACAGAGTACGTGTTGGAGTGAGCAGGGAGAGCTTAGAGCTGGGGTGGGGGTGGGGGGTTCCTGAGAAATAGGCAGTTTGCAGCCATTGGCCTGGATGCATCCGAGAGAAAGAAGGGATGAGGAGAACCCAAAAGTAATGGGAGTTAACTGTGGGCTGGGCCAAAGCACAGAAGGCCTTGAACACTAGACCAAGCATCTGAACTCGACACCACTTTGGGTGCAGCATGCAGTGAGCTACAGGGTTCAGGACAAGGCTTCAGATGGCCACGGAATCGAAAGTGCTATAAAGACCTAGACTGCTTGGTTCAGACATGAACAAGGTTTATGTGTTTAAAAAAATTGAAATGGGCACCGTAATGAAAACAGACAGGAGACAGCAAGCTCTTAGGGATGGAGTAGGATGGATGGAAAGTGCAACTCCCCTGCCCAAAGGATGTCATCTCAGTGAAATGGTAGCTTGGTTTGTAAGGATGCGTTCAGCCAGGCCTTATAAATATATTTTTCCTGTGATGACAGTTGTGGTGAAAATGGTTTTCCTGCACTGTTGTGTTGGAAGTGGAGGATTTTTGTGAAGATTTCTTTCCAGTGACAATCACATCTTTCATGCCTGGTCTGCTATCTCCAGCCTGCTGCTGTCATGAGTCCTTTTCATGTCAGAAGACCCTGGACTTGTGCTCATCTCCTAGGACTGAGATCAACTACAGGAAATTTACTGAGGTTGAGGAAGAAAGGGAAAAGAAATGGTATTGTCTTTTGAGTTGATGGCAAGCTCAGAGGTACTGCTGAGATTCACACAGGCACCTTTGGAGGCAGAGACTTTGTTACAGTCCTCCTGGAGGAGTAGTCCCTGCCCTTTCGCTGCTGTCCTCAAGCCCTGGGTACAACCCATGCAGATCTCTCCAGCATTGTGCTGAGAGAAGGCCTTTCTAGGAGCCTGCCTTCTCAATAAACTTCATCAAGGAGCCATCACTTGACCAACCATGATCAAAAAGTTCTCTAGATTAAACTCTGCACACCCTTCTGTTCAGCAGTTCCGTGGCCAGGCACCCGTCTTGCAGAAATACTCCACAGGGGCATACAGTATTAGACTAGTGAACACTGACCTAACTGAAGGTTTACTAGTGGAGTTACAGTGACCTAAACTGTATCCGGTCAGACACCTATGCCTGTAACCCCAGCTACTCAAGAGGTTGAGGTAGGAGGATCTCAAGTAGGAGGCCAGCCTGGGCAATTTAGTGAGACCCTGTTTCAAAATAAAAAGGGATAGGGGTGTAGCTGAGTGGTAGATCATTTGCCTAGCATGTGAAAGGCCCTGGATTCCTTCTCCAGTACTTCAAAAACAAACAACAACCAAAACCAAACCAAAGAAAACCTTGTATCCTTACAATGGAATATTAAGCAGCAGTTTAAAGAATGAAGTCAAGCTATTTGAACTGATGCAAAATGATCTCCAAGGTAGATTGATAAATCTGAAAAGCAAGTTTGAGGACAGTATGTTATCATTGATATCTGTGAAGAATGAGCCACTGCACTCACAAGACTGTATTATTTCTGGGTGTGGGAGATATTCAAGGAATTGCATATCTATATGTGAATATGCTTGGATAAAGTCAAGGAGGCTACATCAAAGCAGTGACTCTCAAGAAAAGGAATGAGATGGGGGAACAGAATTTCATATATATATATTTTATTTTCCCAGTGAAAGCATTCATATGTTGTAACCTTTTAAAAGTGGAGGGAGGATGTTAGCGTGAGAGTGTGTTGTAAAATGAAATGTACTTAAAAAAAAAAACTGGTTCTGAAGAATGTCCATTTAGTCTGCAGCCACTGTTGAATTCAGTGCAATATTGAAACTGTCCCTATCTGCCCCACCCTCACACATATACACATGCACACGTCCACACAATTTAAGGCCTAAATATTGCTGCATATTGACCAACGGATAAATAGAGACAGAGCTGCAAAAAAACATTCAGTCTCTTGTTTGTAACACACCTGTATCCTGAGTGATGCTATGCTAAAATGACTATTTATTTGGCCTTCTATTTTCATTTTTTTGTTATTTTGTTTTGCTTTTTTAACAGAAAAGATTTTGACCGAAGCACAGCCTGAATTAGGAACCTGGGGAGATGGCAAAGGTGAAGATGAATTATCCCCAGAAGAAATACAAATGGTAATGCCATTCTCTGCCTCATTATTTATTTTTAATGAGTTATCCTAAGACCATTTCATTGAGTAGTAGCCATCTTAAATGCCCTTCCCTGATATTTGTACCAAAGTTTTAAAAATATAAATATATATTTTATACATTCCCACTTGATTTCCTAATTCCTGATATGCTTTTCATGTGTTTTAAATTTGCAATAGCATAATTAAAAAAGAAATTGCCTTGGGATAACTTCACTAATAATAGATGTTTTTTCACCAGCATTAAAATCATCTTTAGATTAAATGGGTCTTTTGTAATTGCCACAATGGCACTTTGTAATTGTTGAAGTGTCTGATGCTATGGTAATGAGGGGAAAGCTAAGTAGCACCTCATTGCTGAGATCACCTCCGTGTGGTTACCGTTCCCCTGTGGCTGGCTGCTCTCCTTTGTCATCTCTGGGTGGGTTTAGAAGGACACTAAGAGGTTGGGCCAGTGCTCTGCAGCTCATCCTCAGCACTGTCTGCCTGCAGCTCCTCTCCCTGTGCTAGCAGCTGCTTCCTGGAGTTGCCCTGATGTCATAGTGTCCTTGTCCAGCTTGGAGAACACAGTTCCCACACAGCATGCTCCAGTAGCAGGGCCTGCCAGTCAGAGCCCCTTCATGATTTCTGAGCTTTCTAGTGTCTATTTTCCTCTTAGTGCTCTTGATAGTGGCATGAAGAGGTGGTGGGGTGTCACCTTCTCCTCCTGCCTTTGGCAAAAATTCGGAAGGGTCTTCCCAAAGTGCCCTAACAAGTAGGGAGTAAGTCTGGATTTCTAGCCTCTGTGCAGAGGAGGAGCAGTGCAGCCAAAGCCTGTCCAGCGAGGATGGCCGGGCCTCCACCCAGCCTGGACCCCACAGGTTGCTCCACCTGAAGGCCCTTTTCTCTCACTCCTGTCATGTCTGAGGTCTCCGAGGTTATCTCTTCAGAGAGCCTCCCTGGCCTGGCTCCCAGCCCCATCCCAGTGCTCTACTTTATTTCCCCTCCTCTCCACATGCAGGTGCCACGCAGGCAGCATCTTGGGAATCATTTGTTGACACATAAGTGACTCTATTGAGCACAGTGTAAAAGCCATGGTCTGTTCTAACAGGTAAAACAGGCTCCTCAGTAGTAACTACTGGCATGCTGTCTTCTCGTGTAAAGTTATTATTCATATCTGTGAATGCCCATCTGCCAGGCCTTTCACACATTGTCTCGTTCAGTCTTCACTATGATCAATGAAGTAGGAATGGCCACTATAATACAGATGAAGAAAAGGAGGCACGAGAGCTCCTGAGCCCTGCCCAGGGTCACGGCCAGCAGAGCAGCAGAGCTAAGCTCTGGGCCGTAAGTTTCACCTCCAAACCTGGCGCTCTCTGTACTGTGTCCCTGGTGGGTTCTGTGGCCTAGGTGCATGGGGCCGCACACGGCTAGCACAGCAGAGTGCCGTGGGTGGCTGCCAGAGGAGTCCATACAGCCCCTGGGGCCCCCGACATGCTGAGACCCAGGGGATGGCCAGTCCGTGTCTGCCTCTTGAACACTTGGATATGGGACAGCTGGACCTCAGTTGAGTTGGAGCACCTTTCATACAGGTGTGGACTGATACACTCTTATCCACCTCACCTTGGAAGAATGAAACTGATCCCAGTGATCGTTAACAGTGACCTTCCCGGGGCTTGCCTGAGCTACTTTCTTTGCAGTTATAAGCAGCTGTCTTTGACCTGTACAGACAGAAATAATTGTGAGCTAAGGAAGTAGCCCAGACGCCTTGAGGCCATGAGACTCCCATCTTCCTCTCCAGCAACACTAGAGGTCCAGAGTCTACCCTCTGACTTTCTTTACATGCCTAACTCACCGCATCCAGTAGGACACGTGCCCTGGGAGCCTTGTGGCATGCAAGGTGTAGAGGTGGCTAGAGACTACTGCAGCGAGGACTCACTGAGGCAGCGCATGCATGTGAGCTGGCATGGGGGCTCCAGGGAGCAGCACTGAAGGGAGAGAATGGAGACAGACACCTTAGTGATTGTGGGGCACGAGAGAGGAAGGAGGAGCCTGAACTTTCTCACAAAGACAATCAGGAGAAAGGGGACACAGACAGTGGGCCGACAGGGAGTTGATGGGTTTCACATCAGAAAAGTTCAGGCTGCCTGTGGACAGGGAGGGGGTGCTCTGGTGCACCGAGGGATCAGGGCACAGGCTGTAGACATCTTAGGGCTGGAGTGTGAAGGGAGGATTGGAGGAGGTTCTCTAGAAACAGCATACATGGGAGAAAGGAGGAGGAACCCCGGGTGTCACCCTGGAACACTGCATTGGAGGCAGGCTGCGGTGAGGAGTTGGCACGGGGGTACGTTCCCTTCTTATAGATAAACAATGGCAAAGTTTCTTAAAATCTCGTAGTTTTTCATCAATTTACATAAAATGATTTAATTAGTGGAAATGATGAGATGTGTTCCCCCAGACATCATGCTCTTACCACATCCCTTTCCTGGAGACAAAGGTGTGCAGCCCTGGCTCTTCATTAAGAAAGAACACATTGTTCGGGTGGCTGTAAGTTCTGGGCTGGACTGTCTTTGCACACACCGCTGTTCTTTGTGAAGGAAAGAGCCAGGTACACATAGTTGGCTGTGAGAGGACTTTGCGTTGGCCCCGTAGGCAGCAGTGAGCAGCATGGGTGGGAAAGCCCCCGGGGGTGTGCTGCGTCTGGCTGTGTGGAAGGATACAAGGAAGGCTGGCAGTGAGGCCATCTGCCCTCACCTGATGCCACAGTCCCACAGAGACAAGAGAACGTGGGCTCTGATGACAGGGTCTATTAGGAATCCCCCCCTGTCACTTGCAATCTTGTAATCTGGGGAAGAAAATCAGCCTTCAGCCCAATCAGAGTGGATACCCCATAGCATCGTGGCAAGTGCAGGGTGCAGTGGCACCTGGAAGAGCCTATGGCAGGAGCAGGCACTGAGCCTCGGCTCAGCACACACCCGCCTCACATCAGATACACGTGGGAAGACAGAGGCATGTTACTCAGGCTCCGCGTGTGCCGCACACCCAGGGCAGCATGGCCCTTCCTCCCTTGTGACTGGGAGTTCCTCCTTCCACTCCTTTCTGTCCTGAGTCATCAACTAAACACGTGGCCTGGGACCCTTCCCACTAGCCCTGAGTGTTTCAGTGTCATGGCATCAGTGACTAAAGCCACCAGGACTTGGTAACGTTTGTGTCACTATAAGTGGATAGGCAGTGCTCCTGAGATAGGCTAAGGTCTAAGTAACGTCTGTCTCATTGGGACTCGTAGCTAAGTACCATTTTTTACAGTGTGACTAACTCAAATCCTATCAAAAAACTTAACTCTGAAAATGAAGAGAAAGCCATGCATTACTGTTGGTTTCTAAATTGGAAAGTGGTGCAGCAAACTGGTCATAATTCATAGTCACTCTTTCAGAGTTTTTCCTCAGGGTAAAAGAATGAATTAAACCCAATACTATATTAAAATAATTCATTATTTCACTCAGAGGAGCAGTGGTTACATGTTGCAGAACGGTTTGTATGATTTGCACTGTGCATTTTCATTTCTGCCTCTTGATACAGGTATACAAAAGCTTGTTAGTTAGCAGGTGTTCTGTGGTCAGGCTGAGTGGAACTAAATTGTTTTCTAATGTTATATCAAGAAGTCCTCCTTCTTTGTCATTTAACTCAAGCAAAACCACCTACATTTATTGATATACATGAGAAGTGTCCCTAGTGAGTGTCGCCTGTGTTGTCCCATGAAACCCCAGGCAGCCAGCTGGCAGGGCTTGCCATGCATGGCCAGGCTCCGTTCATGCATCAGGGACATAGGAGTTGTACAGCTCACAGACCCCAGGCCGGCTCCAGGCTCAGAGTGGCACCAAGGAGCATTAAGGAGAGGGTCGCAGAGTGGGACATGTTGAAGGGCTTGTCATAGAGAAACATCCTGGCCGTGAGCCTCTGAGCAGAGGGGCCAGACAGCCATCTAGGAGGCCCAGCGCACTCACTTGGCTACTCTTGCTCTTTTCCATGCAGATTCTTCTCAAGCCTCATTTTATACCCAAAGCCTTTGAAGAAGAGATTTATCTTTTTAAAACTATAGTGACAAGGATTAGATTAGAAAAGGATTTCTATAATGATATATCCACAGTGTGGAGCTGTGGACTTGAAGCCAGATTAGAACCCCTTCAGCAGAGCCCTGCTGAGAGGGCTGGCCGGCCCTGAGCGAAACGCAGTGGCTGTCACAGTGCCAGGTGCTGCTGTGTGCACATGTTCCAGGTGAATTTATGCAGCCACATGAGAGAGGGGGTATTGCTAGCCCTGTCTTACAGAGAGCCTAGGCCATCTGCCCAAGGTCGCCTAGCTCCCTAGACCCTGAAGCGGAATGCTGCCTCACTACTTAGAAGGCAGAGGTGGGAAGGGGGTCTGGCTGGAGGAAAGCACGTTTGACTAAGAGACCTGAACAGTCTGGAGCAGGCGGGCCCTGGCAGGAGCCCAGAACAGCAGCTGCCACTGTCTCCTGCTGGAGGGCCTTACTTGTCCCCACAACCCATTTAGGCCTCTCGTCCTCCTTTTATTTACTTTCATACTGAAATAAGTATTCCTGAGACTGTAGCCAAATTCGTCTTCTGGGGCATATACACAGCCTGCCTGTGGTGCTGACTGGGCCTTTCATTCAGCACTGCACTGGCGAAGTCCCCACTTGTGTGGAGAGAGGACATGGCCACATGGTCGGAGAGGGACAGTAGAAGAGGGTGTATGTGTGCATGTTTCCCAGTGCCTGAGTGAAAGGGCCATAGCAGCCTCTAGAACTTGAGACCAGACAGGTGGAGGGGCTTTGAAGTGTCTAGCCCCTCACCGTGCACGTCTAGAATCTGCCTCCCGTGGTTACGCTTCCTGAGAGCTTACGGTGTGCCTTGCACTGTGGTAAACTACTCACTTTGGTTTAACTCGTTTTCCTCCTGATGGCCCTGCTGCTCAAGTACCACCATTCTCTCCATTTTGACAAAGACTGAGGTTCAGAGGAGATTCAGTTACCTGTCCAGGGTCATATAGCTTGGAAGGTGAAGGAGCTGGAATTCCACAGCTATTGACCCTGGACAGGTAACAGGAGCAGGCAGGGGAGTGTAGCACTCACCACCTATCCACAAAGAAGCTGGTAGGCACCCAGAAGCCAGTGGCTGGCCCAGGGTCACCTAAGCGTTCCCATGAGACCATAGGACTGGCTTCCACATTCACCTGGCCCCTGCCCCCAGCTGGAGGTGAGTCATACAGGTGTGCCATGCAGATAGCACTGAAAACTACCCTGAAGCCTTGTGCGGGGGACTGATGTAATAGCACCTGGCTATTACCTGGCCTGAGCCTGCCCACCTGGTAATGATGACCTTGTACCTGTTTGTGAGGAGCAGGCTTTTTGAAAGCTTCTTTCATTGTGACCTGCTCTCTGAATGGAGCTGCTTTCCACCAGAAGATCCTGGTCTTCGGCAGACCTCCCTTCAGCCCTGTCACCTCAGAGGCATCTGTTCCTCTTGCTCAGGTAGCATTGAGAACCCATGGGGTCACAGGGAATGAGAGCCAGAATGTGCTCCCAGGCCTGGCCGAGCTGAGGCTGCTATGAAGCTTTCAGCAGTGGCCGCTTCTGAGGGGTTTGGGAAGGGCAGCCTGTGCCACATGCTCTGGGCTTGGGAGGAAACAAACAGGCTTTGTTCCCAGGGAACATTCCAGTAATAAATCACCTCAGACCACTAGTTAATTTTATTAAGGAACAGTTTCAAAGCATAAAAGGACTGTGGATTTAAAAGGGCAGAGCCATATTTTATCGTTAGAAAATTTCAAAGAAAATGCCTTCCCCCAAAATCCTGAGTGACACCTGAGAGAATTAAGTCAAAGTAAATAAGCGCCTGCAAGCTGAAGTAATTACATGTTTTCCTTAAATACTGGACTCTCAAGTCACTGCGAGTTGACAGTTAACAGAGCTCATACTTTCAAAGTCAGAAGTGAAATTTTTACTCTCTGATGTCTAATTAAAAGGGACCTAAATAGCACCTACCAACAGCCAGTAAGGCGGCCTGCTGTGGTGAGGCGGCTCTTCAGGGGACTGCCCCACACTTCCTCCCTTCCAAAAGCATTGCCAACCCACCCATTTCCTGACCTGGCAGGTCAGAGGTGGAGCAGGGGCCTCCCTGTGTTTCACTGAGGTGCAGGACTAAGAGGCCCAACACAGGGCTCAGGCTTTAGGCTCCAGAGGAGAAAGACAGCCCTCCTGGCCCCAGACAGCATAGAGGAGCTGCAGGGAAAGAGGCTCGGCCAGCCATGACGTGTTGGACCACAGAAGAGGTGCCTGTGTGAGGTTTTGAAGGACCCTTTGGGGCTCCCTGGCCACACAGAGCTACCCCATACAGAGAAAGGCAGGAGATGTGATGTGTCGCTCGTGCCCCGTGCAAACTGCAATACAGAGGTGGGCAGTGGCCAGATCATGGAGAACAGTGAGACCTGCCCTTTAAGGTGGAGGGACGGGGCCAGCCGGGAGCAGTTTGCTGTGAATGGCATTTGACCAGGGAGTAGAAGGCAGATGGGAGCAGGCTGCAGACAGCTCACCAGGCTAGCCATGAACCAGGTCCTGGTGGATTCTGGAGTCTGGGAGACTGAGGGCCTCACCTCCAGGTGTGCCCTGCAATCCTGCTCAGTGCCAGGCACAGAGCCCCAGAATCTAACATTTGTGGATTTGGTGGCAGCTTTAACAATGTAAAAGAACGAACAACTGGAATGCTTTTTCAAAGGTGGGTTCACATGCTTCCTGCCCTCCGTTAGGTCATAGTCCCTGGGGAGCTTCAGACATGCCCAAAATTGTGCATCTTCTCCGACAAGGCAGAACATAATCAGTGTCCTATGGTATTTGCAAACAAATGTTCAGCCAAGGATAGAAAAATGAGAAATAACTTGGAGTCAGGACAGGTCTGCTGGAGAAGTGGGCCCAGGGACCCATGGCTCAGCCTCCAGGAACCCGACAGCGCACTCTGGTGCCCCTCACATGTTCACCTCCTTTCCTTTGGCCAATTACAAGTTTTAAAGAATGACCAGGAGAGAAGCTGCTAGTTCTGCTGAGTTAACTCTGCTTTGAGAGGTACTCCCAGTGTCCCTAGGTGTTCCTGTGACCCTCCCTTCCAGCCTGAGCCCTGGGACATATGGCTCTTCAGGCTCATGGGCCTCTGCTCTGTTGAGCATAGCCAGAAGTCAGATGGCCCAGGTCAGCCTCTCCCCCTTGCTTCTCTCCTCCTTCCCCAATCCTCCCCACTCCAGAGCTATCTCCCTTCAAAAATACTGCTACCTGAGACAGGCAGCAGGCTGTGGGTACCAGGTTTGGGGTGGTTGTGGAGCCTGGGAAGCTGGAGATGGGTATGGTTACAGGGCAGCCCACGAGTGCCTGTGCAGTCTGACATGCCAGCTGTGTACTTGGAGTTCGGATGATGGGATGGAGATGCTGAGCCACAGCCCACACAGCAGCTCTTTCGGGTGTGTGTCACTTGCTTCCCAAAGCAGGGGTGTTTTTCACACTGGAGCTCACAGTCCTCTGGCAGCCTGGTGTGGCACCGTGCTGGGAGGAGGGACTGGGCAGGGAGGAGGCAGCACAGGTTGCAGTCACCTCAGCTCAGCAGGATGTCATCATGAGTGTTTGTCTCCTCACAGTTTGAACAAGAAAATCAGCGGTTAATTGGGGAAATGAACAACTTATTTGATGAAGTAAGGTATGTATGTGGTTCTTGTGGGAGCCGAGGGTCTGTGTGCCACCTTTCCAAGAACTTGGAAGTTTATTTGTTTTGGTGCCCAGGCTTCCACATTGGCCCTGGAGCTGCTTACATGCAGCCTACCTGACAATGGTGACAGGGTCTTGGGCCTGTGGGAGGTGACTGACTGCCTCTGCCACCAGGCTCCCAGATGCTACCCCATCCAGAGAAGAGCAGATAGTGGCTGCAGGTCACCCTGAATGCATGACACCAGCTGCAGCATAAGGCTGTTTACATGCAGTCATTCTAAAATGACATGAGGCCCCTGAAGGACCTCTCCCTCGCAGAGGTCTGTCTCCTAGTGGCCAAGCACACGCCTTCCTTGGCCCTTCAGTGAGAGCACCCAGGCCTCAGTTGCCATGGGCATGTGTAGAGAGTGCAGAACAGTGAAGCCTGAGTCTGCGTGGCCTTGTTGCCTTGTAGGCACACCCTCAAAATAGAGCCCTCGGGTGGGACCCACACTAGGTGCAGACTTCCTCAGTGCAAGGTGTTGGCCCCCAGGGCCTGCCTCTGCCCAGCCTCGCACTTCATCCCAGCCCTGGTCCCACCTCCTGATTCTTCTCCCAATCTAACACCTGCTTCCCTGGACTGGAGGGAGGTGCGGCTCCCTCTAGACACACATAGGCACCTATGCTGCTGCAGAACAGGGAAGGGGCTCACAGATGGCTCGAGTCTGGCACTTACTTGCCAAACCCAGGTAGGATGTTTTCAAAGCGAGTTGGAGTTTTTTTTCCTACAAGAGGGAGCTGGCTTGAGTGGGAAACACCTTTTTTAAGTTGGGTCCTCAAAACATTCTGACATGAGTACACAGCACATGTGACTAGGTGGCCAAGCCAGACACCAAGCTTACCAGAGACTTTGTGTTTTGTGTCTAAGGCATAACTCCACACTCCCCAGTCCCCAAGAACTAGCCCAGAATGTAGGGGGCACTTCACATGCCCACCTTCAGGACTGAGGGACAGTTTACACAGTTGAGTCCAGTGTACTGGACCAAATGCCATCTCCTCTTCCCCACTTGACAAGGCCTGTCCTTTTCTTTCTTTCACCTAGCAAAGATGGTTTCTTTAGAAATGTATGGAATTACCAAGTGCTGAGAATTCATATGTAACCTATGGATTCTTGTTTCTCTGAAGGCAAATCGAAGGGAGAGTGGTTGAAATCTCCAGACTCCAAGAGATATTCACGGAAAAGGTTTTGCAACAGGTAAACAAAAAACAGAACATGGCAGTTCTCAGTTTTAGCTTAGAAAAGAAATGCACTGAGCCCTGGGAGCACCTCCCACAGGTATCCGAGCCCGGCATCTGTTACAGCATTGGCTGCTGTAAGCCATGGGCACCCAGAGCTCTTTGAGTAAAATCCTGGTGGCCCCACAGCAGCCTCTCAGGACCAAGTGACTGTCTCCTGGAGCACATGGTACATGGGAGAAGGCAGACCAGACCTAGTTGTCAGACAACTTCTGGCTGTAGCTGCCCTGGGGTGAGCTGGGGAGCTCCCCTGCACTGCAATTCCCTGTCCATCAAATGAGGTGACCTGCAGGGTTGCCATAAGTTTCAGAGGCACCCACACAGTGCCTGATAGGGCATAGATATTTCTGTCACCAGTGTTACAGGAGCTCAGACATGGCCCTCTCAAAATGCCGGGCCCACACCCTCAGGAGTATTCTTGTGGGAATAGGATTGTTTTCTTACAGGAAGTTTCATGCCATATCTACCATTCCAAACTTTTTCCAGCCAGTTACTGGCAAAATTTTTAAAGTCCAATGAATTTTCCCTTTTGGGTTTTAGCACCCACAGACTATGGGTTTGAAAGACAAAATCTGTTTGCTCTGGCGTGTTAGACTGGGCTAACACAGCCACAGTCAGATCATTATGAAGGAGGTAAACTGGATCTAATCCCACTTTGGAAGTCCAGGGTCACAGGAGTTGCCCTTTGAGTAGCTCCTTACAGGGTCTGCTCGGTCTGTGTGCGGTGCCGGGATGGAAGCCTCCCTCTGCGGTGACCTCACTTCCATGGCCATCACTTCAGCTTCGCAGAGCACACCAGCCCGTTCCTGGAAGAGCTTGCCCAGCTTGCCACACATGTGTGGCAGGGACTGTTTCTCCCAGGTCCTGTCCTTGCCTGTAAGATGGGGCTGATGTCACTTGCCTCACTCAAGTGCCTGACACACCTGGTCCATCACAGGCTCTTAGTAAGTGGTGACTGACATTATTTCCAGAGTTAGCCACCACAAATCTGGGTTGTGTCCTATTTTCTGGGCATGGCTGTTAGCCACCGGCAAAGGGAATATTCCTGGAGTGTGTCTTAGGCACAGTGGGAGGCAATGAGGTTGGCCCGGATGCAGAAGAGGTGAGGTCTGCGCTCCTTCTCAGGCTCCTGTACTCAGCCCAGCTACTGAGGAGCCCCCTTGCTGGGAATGCAGTGACCCTCCCTTATCAGTGGCTGCCTCAGAGCCCTGAGCCAGATGGGTTACTCTTAACAAGAGGAGAGCTGCTGTCCTGCTTCCCCCAGCTCCTTCCTGCGCTCTGCCTGGGGAGGTAGCAGATGGAGCTCCAGCCTGAGCCTTGCCTTGGTGGCTCAGGTCTTGGAGACCTAGGACACTGCATTCGTCTTCTCTTACATCGTGTTGCTGCTTACCTATAACAAGTCCCTCATAGGAACGGAGGTGAGGTTCAGGTAGCTCCTCCTAAAAGGCACAGCTACAGAGCAATACTGGCCCTTATGCTTTTGTGTAATGGCCATCACAGGGAATCAGGTGGCCAAAGCCTGCAGCTGTGGCTTCTGCACAACCCATGCCAGCACACACTCGCCACCCTGGCAAGGGAGACAAACTGACACCACTGCTCAAAAGGCTAGCAGGCATGGTCCCCTCTGCCAGTGGTGGGTGCAGGAGCAGTGTTCACATGAGACCAGGGTCCCTTACTACTGAGTTTTCCAGGTGTTTGGAGGGAACACTTCCTACAAGTATCACATCCCATTTGAGTTTCAGCCTGCCTGATAGAGCTGAGGGGAAGACATAAAGCACTTTTTTTGGAGCCAGAGGGTTTATTTAGAAGCACCTGAGTTTTGAAGCTCATTTCTCTGGACCTTGGAAAGAATAAATGAGGGATTGAAGGGAATGCCCCCCCCCCCTGGCATGTAGTGCCGTTCCACAAACAGCAGCTCTTAGGTTTCTGTCCTTGTTATCAGCAAGTGGCTTGGGAGAGACGGAAGGTGGGGAGCAGCACCAGCTCTGGGGTCCAGCAAGGTGAGTCTTATCCCAGCCCTGCCACTGGCTTGCTGGATGACTCGGGCTCAGTTACCTCAGAGCTCCAAGTTTCCCTTTCACAAAGCTGGGTGCCAGCTTTCATAAAGTTCAGGATGCCATGAAGATTCATGGGCCAACAAGTAAAGTCTCTGTCCGTTGGCAAGCGGAGGCTGCTGTTTCCAGCACAATGTCTGCTCGTGGGAGGAGGCGGTGGCTATATTTACCCGACACCCTTTCCTTCCACAGGAAGCCGAGATTGATAGCATTCACCAGTTAGTGGTAGGAGCAACTGAAAACATCAAGGAGGGCAATGAGGACATACGAGAGGTGGGTGCTCTTGGGTCCCCTGGGTGTGATCTGGGCAAGGCTATGCAGGGGCTTTGGGGCCAACCATGGTTAGTGCCAGCAAGCCACGTGTTCATGAGCCCCACTGGCTGACTCTAGCTCGTTGTCAAGACAGTGGCTCCCACCCTCCAAAGCAGCAGTCTGAGGTGAGGTGGACCAGGAGTGGCTAGGTAACTTCTTGAATGGAGGGGTGAGCGTCAGGGAGTGGGCAGTGCCTGGTTGCTATTTGGGGATGACCTTCCAGGTGCTTGCTATTGAGTGGACATTGTTTTCTGAGCTGTCCTTAGGGTCAGGTTGTTACAGGGCTGACACTGAGTCACCTACTGACTGGGGAACACGAGCTAGGATTGAGACTGCTGTGTACCTTGAACCCGGAGACAAATGTGATTCCTGGGTGTCGTGTTTTTTGGGTGAATGGGCTGTACTGCCAGGCCAAAGCAGGATTGGAAAGGACAATCCCCTTGTCTTCTGTGGGATTCACCACATTTGTTGACTTTACTTCATAATTAAGCCACCCATCCAAGGTGACCGAGCAGCACCCAGTCCCTGCTGAGCAGGAACGCATGGGAACAGTAGGGCACTGCAGGGCTCTGAACCCCAGTCCTGAGGTCCTGTGCTCTCGCCCCGCCCAGGCCATTAAAAACAACGCTGGTTTCCGAGTGTGGATCCTCTTCTTCCTGGTGATGTGCTCCTTCTCCCTCCTCTTCCTGGACTGGTACGACAGCTAGCTGCCACAAGGTCTGCGGCCTTGGCCAAGGTATGCAGGACGAGCATCTGCAGGGGCACCTCTGACATACCAAGCGTGTACTCTCAGGTGTCTGGCATCGGAGGAGCTGTGATCAGGTTTTATCACGAAGTCATTTGAGGGACAAAGGGGTTGAGACAGACATGTACATCACAAAAGGGGTACCCAGGCCAGTGGGCCTGTGCCTGTTCAGCAGCTGAAGAGCAGTGCACAACTTGGGAGTGGTATGCCCACAGCCCTAAGGCACAAGTCAGCATGAGCGAGAGGTCGTGGACTGCACCTCCGCTTGAGCCGCCCTGGCAGGGACAGCTCCCCCATGAACTGCAGGCCACACTCCCAGTGTTGTCTCAGGGCTCATCCCAGCAGCTGCAGGACAGAACTTGGCTAAGGATGACATGACAAAGGATTGGTGCCTCAATTTCTTGTAGCTTCTGGTTGCCCGAGTCAGCTGACAGTCACAGTGATGCAGAAGAGTTTCATTTGCCTCGCAGACCTATTAAATACAGTTGTGGCCCCTCGCTGCATTGCCAGTAGGAACAGTGCAGTCCAGTGGTTGCCCACCTACCTGGTGGGCAAGCTCCGAGGTGCTCCAAGGGCTGCCTGCCTGGCTCCAGCTGCCGCCCCCAACACTCTTAATGGCAGGGCAGGAACTGGGGCCCCTAAGTCCTGGCTTCCTGCTTCAGGGTTCAAGTATTATGTGTTTAAAGGAAGAAGTGGGCCACAGAAGAGCAGGGCCTGATACCCCATGCCTGCACACCTGCCTGCAGGAAGAGTCTCCAGGATCACCTGTTCGTAACTGAAAGCCTGCTCCATGTGGACCATGTCTGCATACTGCGTCCAGTATCCTGGCATCCTGTGGGGATGAGCCAGTTCACACCACTCCTCCTCACAAAACACGTGCATGGACAGTCGTTGGGTGGCACAGGTACCTTTGAGTTCTTTATTTGCACCAAGTGAAATGTAGGAAATTATTGTAGTCAATTTACAGTCAATAAAGTACATGTCTACTAGAATACCTGGGGGTGCGCCTGTGTGCTTTGCTTATGTGGGCACTTTGCAGGGGTCGGGGGAGGGTGCACAGGACAAGTTTGGCACGCGTTTAGTGCTTGCATGTATTGCTCGCAGCTTGGGCCACTGTGCTGCATTCTGTCCACACCTAGGTCAGGATCTTTGTTTCGAAACACCCTTGATAATAAAACACGCGTTTGTCTTGGAAGCACATCTCAGGGAGAGCAGTGGAGCCGACCGTCCTCACCATGCTTGTTTGCAACAGGTCTCGCACTATTTGCCATTTATTTCTGCTCTTCTAAAAACCAGTGAAACTTGACACACCCACCAGAATCAACACACTCAATAACATGCAAGCAACATCTGTGGATATCTTTTTTTTCTATTTAATTGTCTTACACACGTAGTTTATCTAACTGGCAATTTTGTAAAGATATACTTTAATGTCAAGATTCAAATTGAAACAATTTTCTTACAAAGATTGTGGATTGAAATGTCAGGTTTGCAGGGTGCCACACCAGTGCCCCCAGCTGTTTGCTACATCAAGGAATAATATCTGTCCGAGAATAAAGCTTAAAGTAGCCCTGGCTTACGAGCAATTAAATTTTCACTTTTCCTACCCAGCAAACTTGTAAAACTTAACTTGCATACAGGACTGTACGTGCAAATTGATCATAATAGAAATGAACAAAAGAGCATTTCTTTCCTATTTAGCACATCACCAGCAGACAGCCCACCCATGGGAAGGCAGTTCTGCAGCCCCCGACCCCAGGACCAGCTCCTCCCGCCCCCCTTCTCTGCCCAGCCCATGCACTCTGAAGAGAACCTCACATGTCCACTCAGTGGTCCCTCTTTATCAAGATGCCAGAGCCAGAGGGGACCCAGCCGTACTAAGAACCACCTGGTGCAGATCTGCCACCTGGTGCTCTTGTCCTCAGTGGCACCATCAGCTGGGGGGTGAGGAAACTGAAGTAGCACTTGCTCTTAGCAAGAGATCACTCTAGATATGGCTATGGGGTAAGGTGTGCACACAGCAAGGTGGCTTTGAAAATAAACTCCACAAAATGCATTATGTATCTGAAGGCCAACGCCCTTGCACATCCAGGTTAAATTTGTTTTTTGACAGCATCCAGTAAATCCCAGTGATGGAGCTAAACTAAGAACCCTTAGCATAAAAAGTGGCGCCAGAGCTCTTTAAGCAACTCTGATATGCTCTTGGTTTTATGCCCATGGGTGGTCGGCAGCAAGTTTTATTTGCAAAGCAGCATTAGCAAACAGAAGCAATTGCACCGTAAATGAGTAACCTCTAAATTATCAGTAATTACATTTAATGAAATGTCCCTCAAAGTCCCTTTGTTATCTTCAAGTGACACATTGGAAGGAACTTGCCCGTCTCGCTAAGCTGACTTCTCAGCTGCTTCAGTCTCCTGTTCTGACAGCTTCTCTTCTGAAAGCACTGACATCCAGGGTGACACGGAGCGGGTGATGCTCTGCTTGGCCAGGTTGTAGTGGTTTATGACTGTGTAAAATTTCTCCCGGGCGCTGGAATCTTGCTCCGCGTAGTAGCTTTCCAAGCCTTCTGGGATGCACTGGGTATTCTGCAAGACAAGAGGCCACTGAGACCAGACGTGGGTGCAAGAGAGGTGCCAGTATCCCCCAGTCGATGCCCCACAGTTGTGACGGCACCTTCTCTGAACCTGGAGGGATAAGTACCAGGATGGGCCACAACAGACACAAGTCCTGCCCTGGGAGCACGACCACACAGAAGCCTGGCATTAACTGGTGGGTGCCACGCCAGACTGGCACTTGAGCTTCTGTCACAGGCTTTACTTCTCCAGAGATCTCACACTGTGTGCTCTGCTTACGTGGGCACTTTGCAGGGGTGGGGGGAGGGTGCACAGGACACCTACTAGAAAACAATGACCCTTCTGACATGTCCAGAAGTAACCAATTCAAGTAAGGAAGGGAGGGAAGTGGGAAAGGTTTCCCTGGGCACTGGGCTAGGTCCTCAGGAGGTCTTGCTCAGGTGATGGGCAGGCAAGTACTTGAGGCAGAGAACAGAGCACACGTAGAAGAGGCCCTGGGGCGGGAGACTGCAGGAAGACCAGGCCAGCACAGAGTGAGCAGGGGCCTGCAGAAGGGCCAGGGCCAGCCTCTCAGCTGTCAAGGTCCCAGTAGGAGATGTGGGTGGGCCTTGTGACCCCAAGGGAAGCAGGAATGCATGGAGCAGTTTCAGAGGGGTGGAGGCTGGAAGCTGCCCCCTATAAGTCACAAAACTGGGACATCCAAGACTGGGTTTCAGAATAGCTGAAAACCCCTGTGGTGCTGTGTGGCATTTTGGAAGAAGACAGTGTATAGCAGTCATCAAACTGTCAGGAGTGTAGAGCCCTGAAGGCTTCAGATCCTGCACATGAGTTGGCTGCTTCTCAGGACAGAAGCCAACTAACCACTGCCCCAGTCACAACTGATGCTGGATGACTTGGCCGGGAGGGGTTGCAGGTAGCATGTGCACACAGCACAGACCCCTGGGGAAGGTGCACTGACGTTGCTAATTGTCTTCCACCACACATTGTCCCCAAAGCTGACCGGGGCAGGGAGCATCCCGACCAACAACTACATTTCCCCGCCTGCCATGTAGCCAGGTAAGGCTCTGAGACTAACTTCAGGCCAGTGGGATTTGAATGGATGTGACAGGTGCAAGTTCTGGGCTGGGTGGGCCCTAAAGGGAAGCTGCATGCCCTCCATTTTTCATGTATCTCCTGCCACCCCAAGGACAAAATCCAGGGGGCCAGGGACAGCAAGAGGTAGGGAAGTCCGACGACTACAAATCCATCACTGCTTTCCAGCCTGGACTTTGGGTGAGAGTAACAAATCTAACAAATCTTATAAACCAAGTCAAAGCAACCAAAGCATGGATGCCTCTATCACACAGGAAAGTAAGACCAACAGTGCGTCTGGAGCCTTGGGCCTTGTGGTACGCTCCACCCAGAGGTCAGCCCTGGGTTTTTTGTTTTTTGTTGTCCAGAACTGACCACCGGCAATCCTTTCAATTCAGCCAATGCTCTCAGGCCACAGGAACGTACCCCTGACCACCTGTACTCACTGCCAGGAGGCTTTGCTCCCCTCTGCTGCTGGCTCACCCTGTGTCCTCAAGGGGGAAGATGGGGTGCTCGTTTAGACAAGAATGTGAGCTGGGACCTTCCCTGGAAGTCAGCTGCAAGGGAACCACCGCCAGAGCCGTGGTCTCCACAATGAGCTTTTCCCAGCCAGGGCCTCCTGCTGTAACGTCACCTTCCAGGTGTGGGTTCATTTGACATGGCTCGGCTGTGCTTGCTGTCACAGGGCTGAGCACGGAACATGTTGAGGGATGGATACATGGTGGTCATGAAAAGCGCCCACCTAAGCAGACCTGGAGGCCCAGTGAGCCTGAAGGGGTGGGCTCCCGCTCTCGCATGCAGTGGCCACCGTGCCTAGGGTGTGCAGCAGGGAGAGCGCAGCAGGTGGGCAACATCAGGCCCCGATGCAGGCTCGGCTGGCTGTGCTGGGCATCGAGAACACCAGGAGGACAGAACACCCAGCCAGGAGGCACTGCTGACCCCAGCCCTGCTGGTCCCCTTGCCTGGCTGGGGCCTTCATTCAGAAAGTCTGAGCTGAGGCCACTCCAGAAGTGGCAGCTGTGTTGTCCTTTGCAGAGGCTGGGTGCTACCTGCTTTGCCTGCTCACAGACGGGCAGGCAGAGCTCAAGGGCCACCACGGGATCTGGGGAGGTGGTGGTGGCGAGGGTGGGACGGCAGTACACCCTCATGCCCGCAGCTCCAGGGGTGCTGCAGTGTGCCCCCTGTTTGGGCTACTGTAGCTACTGCCTCTCCTCAGATGGACAGAGTCCACTGCCACCAGTTAGGTGACAATGTAAAGATCAGATGCCACCCTGCTGCTCCTTGGAGAACAGGGACTCTACCAGCTCACTGGACACTGAAGAATAAAGATCAGAAATCCCAGCAAGTCCCCTATATAGGTGAAGAGCTAGTTTCAGAAGAGAAATGACAAGGAAATGGAATGTGCACAGAGACCCAGCCGCCCTGCAGCCACCTGAAGACCAACCGGGGCCAGGAGGGCTGGTGTACACCCAGGTGACCTGGGCGGGGCCTCTCCCCTCTTTCCTGTAGCCAACCTTCTCTCCACCAGTCCCAGTGCAAGACACAGGAGGGAAACGTCACCCTGAGCACTTCCTACTGGTCCAGCTATGCCCTCTGGCCACCTGCCAACTCTCCAGGCTTTCACCGTCGTGGGTATGGAGCACAAGGCCTCGGCTGCTCTGGGGCCTGTTCTGGCAAGGTCATCGGGAGAAGAGGCACACTGGTATCCTGCAGCCTCTGGGCGGAAGTGGAGCCTTACCTTGAGGACGAAGCCATCAGGGCAGGCGCGGTCGTACTTGTACACCTTGTAGACGACCAGGAAGACGACGCAGGTGAGGAAGGCCAGAGCGAAGAGGACCAGCACGGAGACCTGCGGGTGGGCGGGCAGAGGCGGGAGGTCAGGGTAGCTGGGAAGATGGTGACAGAGTGCCAAGGGATACTCGGGGGAGGAACCTGAGGAAGTGCAGCTGGGGGGCGGGGTCCAAGAACCAGGTCTCCCTGGACGACATTTTGTTCCATTTCAATTTTTCACAATATCCCTGTGCCACCTTTAGTTTTTTTTTTTTCTTTATTGTATTTAATTTTATGTGGATCAAACCCAGGGCCTCACATATGCTAGGAGAGCGCTCTACTGCTGAGCCACAACCCAGCCCCACCTTTAGGTTTAGTTAGCTGTTTTTAGTATCTGAGGCTCTGCACTGAGAGCTATGGGTACAGATATGACAAAGCCTTCAAATCACTCAAATGGCTCAGAGGCAAGTGAGACCCATGACCAAGAAGTGGGCCAGGACGCTGTGCCCACTGCCCCCAGCGGTAACACGCTGGGGCATCTGCCACTGGCAAAGCATCTGCTCCATAGATGTTGCCTGAGCCCTGAGCTCAGTGCTGGGGCACTGTCACTTGGACACCAAGCTGCCCTTGTACTGGGACCAGCTAAGCAGGAAAGTCAAAACCTCCATGGCCCGTCACCTCTGGCCTCTAGTCTCCTGCGGTTCAGTCAGTGTCCATGAGGACAGGGATTTGGCTTTCTCACTGCTGCTGCTGCTGAATCCTAGACTGGCTTGGCCTGACACACAGTAGGTGCTCATCTAGCGTTACCAACAAACACGACAGTGGGCAGACGGGGGACACAGAGGTGGGACACCTGCCCCAGATGGAGGGCGTGGGGCAAGATATCACAAGATGGGATTGCATCTGGAGCTGAAAGGTGCTCACATGGGTGCCAGCAAGCCTAGCAACTTGAGGGCATGACGTGGCCTTTCCCCAGCCTGGGTAAGCAAAGGGGCAGCTGTCTCCCAGGTTCCCTGGACAGGCAGGAAGGAAGCCAAGGTACGGGCCCGGGGAGCCAACGTGCGGTCAGGGCGCCGGAAACACTGGTCTAATGTGCACGGAGCACGGGCTTCCCACCTCCAGTGCTGGTGGCCAGGAGCTGCCACATTGCTGGCACTCCTCCTGCTGGCAACACACAGAGCCCCACAGCCCCCAGGTCCAGGGAACTGAGGGACCCTGCTTATCCTGAGGCTGCACAAGGGACCCAAGTGCAACCCCAGCTCCTCCGGGTAGACCCTCAGCAGAGCACCCTGCCAGCTCAGGAAGTGGCCTTGGGTCCACTTGATACTGTGGCATCCTGGGGTCACAGGAGAAGAGATGTGTGGAAAGGAGCGTTATAAACCAGCAGCACGTTCACCTGCCCGGCCATGAACTCAAGTCCCTGTGGTAACACCTGTGCTCCCTGCAAGCCGCCTTACACCCACCAGGGCACGATTCCTGCACTGCTCCAGAAACCCTGGGATTCTCTGAGCCAGTCTCCTCACCTGTGAAATGGACACCAGTTCTCCCACCTTCCAGTCACTTGAGGCTATAAACGCCCATGACGAGCTGAAATGGTTACTGTGGGACCCCTGCCTCCACTTCCCGGGGCTCTTAATCTCTGGAGTTCAGACCGACTGGGGCCTGCATCTGGCTGCAGGCATCTCTGGCTGGGGCCCTGGCTTCTGCACAGCTGGCTCTGCACAGGAGCCCACAGTGGACGGGCTTCCTGTCCAGCTTCCTGTCCATGCTGGTGCTAGATTCAGCCACCTCCACGCACCTCACCACTCCCCAGGGCCGAATAGGCAGCGCCGAGACTCCTGGGACCCCAGGCTTCTCCCTACACAGCCACCTGTCACACCCATGACTGCCAAATCCCACTCCGACCCCCACCACTCTCCCAGGTCACACCCACTGCAACTTGAGTAAGATATGTCCCCTCTGTGTCCTCCCACCTAGGAATTAGCCCCTCAGACCCCCGGGAAGCAGGAAATCTCCACTCTAAGGAGGCCCTTCCTTCTCTAGTCCTGCCGATTCCCAGTCTTTCTCCCACTAAACCCACCTCTGTGACTCCTCCCTGGGTCTGTCACGTTCCCCGAGGGCCCAGAGACTCCAGTCAGTCTGGACAAGGTACACTGCATATGGAGCCCATGCCTGGCACAGGGACACAGACAGAATGCAGCCAGGCTGCTTTCAAGGCCCACAAGGCCCACAATACCCGTGGGGGATGGCACTAGCCGGGGTCTGACGATGGCTGCAGGCCACAGACAAGCATGTGACAGGCCAGGGGGCTGGGAGCAGAGCCTGCTGAGGAACGGTCAGAGTGTGCTAGAGGAGGAAGGACCACTGGCTAGAGCACTCGGCAGGCCGGTGAGTGACAGCCCCCCGCTGGCCACGCTGGGGCTTGTGGAGCACACCCTTCAGCTCTAGCTCACGGCTGCTGCCTGGGCCCCTGTCCTGCCTGGAAACAGATGGTTTCCCACGACAGTAGGAAGGTGAAGGAGTGGACACTGTACCAGGACACTGAGGACAATGTCGGGCAGGCTGGACAAGAAGGAACTGTGTTCTTACTGATGTTCCTGTCACCACTGTCATCCCCTGAAGTCTCACAGATGGCAGAGTGGGCTCTCCACCCAGGCGGCCCTCCACACCCCAAGTCCACCCTGCCAGGGACTGGGTCACCTGCCCCCTCCACAGTCCCCACCAGCAGAGCTGTGTCACTCAAGGTGGGCTATGGGGAGAACTGGTTTTCCATACAACTGGCCTCTTTATGGCCTTTCATGTTCTATTTTATCTTGTGCAACTGAAAGTAGGTGGAGAGAAGAGGCCATACCCACCCTGGCCACTGCCAGCCTGCCCCCTTGATCTGGAAGCCACATGGGAGTCAGCTTCACAGTCTGTTTAGGTTTTAAAATGACCCCAGCCCCCTGCAGGGCTGTGTGGACGGCTTCCGCCCGCTCACAGAGCAAGAAACATGACAGAGCCTGGGGGAGAGGACAGAGGGCATGGAAACCAAGCTGCTCCAGCCAGCTCTGCAGATCCTGAGGCAGGGAGGCCCTCCCTTCCCCTGGGGTCTATAAATTCACCAGTGGCAGGGGACTCCTGTGGTTATCACGGCCTAAGAAAGGGGAGTGAGTCAGGGGCCTTTCCAGAATCACGGTCAACCACTCCAAGCTGAATCTGGCTCTGCAAGCTGCTGACCATGACTCTAGCAGGGGCCTGGCCTCTCAGGCCACAGCGCATCTGTGGAACGAAGAGGAAACAATGCCTCACACCTGTAGGCGTTTATCAGAGGATGACAAGGGTTGGCAGGCTTTGAGAGCACCTGGACCCCTCTTACGGGCTAAAATGTGTTCCCCAAAAAGAGCTACAGTCTACTCCAAGTACCTGCAAACGTGACTTTATTTGCAAATGGGGCCTCTGCAGATGCAGTCTAGCTAAGACAAGGCCATTAAGGGCACAAATCCAATCTGACTGGCGTCCTTCCACTACAGGGAATGTGGACACAGAGACAACACACTGCGAAGACCAAAGACCAAAGGGATGCACCCACATGCCGAGAAAATAGCCAGCACCCCCAGAAGCTAGGGGAGGCAAGAAGGGTCCTCCCTGCAGGGTTCAGGAGGAGCAACGCCCCCAACACCTTGATTCCAGACTGCCAGCCTCGAGGACCATGAGAGAATGCAATTCCATTGTTCTAAGCACCCCCACTTTGTGGAGCCTTGTAGTGGCATCCACAGGACTGAGAGCTACTTTAGTGGGTACAGGACTGGCTTACCTCCCTGAAGATGACTCCTGTCGCTGTCATCCTGTCCTGTCCCTGCATACCAGGCTGGGCTGCCTTCTCCTTCCTCATCCTTCAAAGCCCTAACTAGGTCAGCAGCCTCCAGAAGGCCCTGGAACATGCCATCCTCTCGGTGGTCACCAATTACACATGCAGGCATTTGTGAACCTCCCTCCCTTCTCCCATGAGAATGAGGGGTATTCTGGAACCCAGGGCAAAATGACTGAGCCTGACATCCAGGATTCCCCAGGCCTGGAGCTCAGAGGCTGTCTCCACATGACACACCATGACCTCTGTGAGTCTGAGAGCCCCAGCTCAGACACTGCATCTCTCAACCAACTTCAGAAGACTACCCCCAGAGAACAAGAGCAGGGCGGCCCTGGGCTAGAGGCCCACTCAGCCACACCATGACCTAGGGAGGCCACTGTCCCAACCCCAGGCTCCCCATCCCATGAAGGGGGCGCTGGCCTAGCGCCTGTGTGCATGTTGGGACAAGCAGTAGACCTGTCAGGCATACAGTGGGGCACAGCAGGCCCTGCTCCCACACAGTGCTGCAGCCTCAGAAAGGGCAGGTGGAGGCCATAATCCAACACTTCCCTGCCTGCTGCAGGCCCCGTCACTGAAAAGGAGGCACCTTCACACCAGCCAGCAGGACACCCAGGCGGGCCCCAGGCCATGCAAATGAGAAATGGCTGGCACAAAACGGGGCTCAACTGACTATGCATGAGAAAGCCCAAACCCCTAGGGGCCTGGAAATGCTACTGTGTTGGGAGATGGAGCCTAGAGAGGCTCAGGGCTCCCATCTGAGGGCACTCATCCCTGCAGGAGTGGTTCACCAGGAAGGGCCTGCTCCTCCCCTTTCCCTTGCTCTCTCTGGCCTCTGCCTCCCTTGTGGGATGACACAGCAAGCAGGCCTTGGACAGAGACAGCCCCCTGTTCCAGGGGCAGGAGCCAATAAACCTCCTTTCCTTCTGAGTTCCTTTATGAGTGTCCCAGTCTCAAAGATCCTGTTTAGCAGCAGGAGACGGACAGAGACACCTGGAACCTGCCAATGTGATCAGGCTGGATCTCACAATGGGGACACTCCCGATTACCCAGATGAGTTCTCCATGCTATGTCCTCTCAGAAGGAGATGATCCTACAAAGGGGCAGGGATGCAAGGACAGAAGCTAGAAGATGCGGCACTGCAGATCTGAAGGTGGAGAAAAGCACCACAAGCCAAGGAGTGAAGGAGTCCAGAAGACAGGAAATGGCAAGAAACACACCCCTTGAGCCCT